AACAGAGTGAATGGCCAGGAACCTTTGCACCGACTCGCAATTAAAGTGGATTGCGACTTGAAATCACAAGGGCCTCGCTGGCCAAACGATGAGCCGCATTGGGCCCGCTTGGCTACAGACCACATGTGCTCTGGTTCTCGCGATGTCCTTCTGCCATTGTCTGCCCCAGGCCCTCTCTTTCACCTCCCCTCCTCTTTTCTCCAATCGTAAGCTTCTGGCCTCTTTCTTACACCTTGGTTTGTCTGTTCCCCCCCATTCGGCCTCCCCCTGCTGCGTGCCTCCAAGAGCGGAACAATCGAACGCATTTTCTCCTCAATTGTTTCCCCGCCCCGCCCCACAGGCTGGATCACATGCGGCGTTGGATGATGCCACCGCGTCCGTCACAATTTTGCCCCTCAACGATGCCGTTTCCTAGTTCACTGCAGCTTTCTAGGTTCATTCATGCCCCCCTCCCAACGCCACCATCTTGCAAATGAGCGAAGCAACGTAAAGAAACCACCACTGGGTGACACCTGCATAGGATCACAGAACAAAGGTGCAAACATCATAGTGAGCTCGCGTGTGCAATCCCCAGCCCTTACCAAACCGTGAGCTGATTCAATCCGACAGTCCCCTGGGCGAGCGACAAGGCCGCAAGCTGCGTTGCAACCAAGGGAAGGGCCTCGCGGCACCGCGGCGCGCTGCAGCAAAACACCAGGCAACGAGAACCTCCCAAATGATGGGCGGTGGTTTCGGCACGGGGCATCCGGAACGAGACACTAGGTTCGGCACGAATCCGACGCACCACGAGGTGGGATGCCCCCCAGTTCTGACATTCGAGGCTGCGCCGCGGGCGGAATTCCTCTCATCTACTCCCGAAAATGGGGGTTTGATATTGATTAAACCGCGCGCCCAACCGCTCGCGGCGCCCCCCGTCAGATCCTTCTGAAAAAATGGCCCGCGCAGAAGCGGCCACGATCCCCCGAAACGAATAATACAGGTTCGCGCTCCCGAGGCCACAGTCCGAAGAAAACAAGAAGACAATGTGGGACAACACCCCATGTAAGTGACGCGAGGCCCGCCATCGAAAGGCCAGGATCCCCCGTCACACGCATTGGGCAAGCGCTCTAGAAACCACCAAGGCTGCCGATATGGATCAACACGGTTCCAACGCGGCTCAAAGTTCCCCCAAGACGACCCCAAATGCCACCAATGCGGCCCATGCGGTTTCCAAGGCGGCCCACGAGGGCTCTAAGAAGACGTCTTGCAAAGCATGCCAAGGCCAACAAACCAGATTTCTTTTCCATGCGTGGATGCGTTCGGCGCAATCGCCGCTCCGGGTTTCTACGAATTCAACATAACGCAAGAAACGTTCGAAAATGCCCCCATGGCAGCCTGACAAGGTTCGTGATCGCACAAAACATGCACAAACCAACGGCCGCAAGACTGCCGAAGAAAACCCCCAGACAGCCAAATATGGAAACGAAACAGCCCCAACCAACCCAGCATGGCACCCAAAGAATCAGGACGGCCTGGAATAATCCCTGGACGGCGCGGGAAGGATCCACGATGGCTTCCAGAGCCCGCGGCAACGAGGCTGCAATATATCCCCAAGCGAACCCAAAGGCGACCGCTCCACGTCGGGCCAGGAATGCCCCAACAATCCTCCGAGACATGCCCCACTGGGGCGCACGACAGCCCCAACACAACAAACGCACTGGAAGGCACCACGCTGCTCAATGCCTCCTCCTCCTCCTCCTCCTCCTCCTCCTCCTCCTCCTCCTCCTCATGTTCCTCTTCCGCTGCACTCCTCTCATATGCGCAAGACGTCGTGGCCATCCCCGCCGCCGTCGTCGCCATTGTCAGTATGATCGCCGCGGCCACCATCACCATCGACCCAATCATAAATATCACCTACATCATCATCACCATATTTGTCAAGGCACTCGTCGTAAACACGTATTGTTTTTTATCTCGCGTCGCTATCGAACCTCATCCCACGCGCGTGCTGCAGCAATTCTAAGTGTCGAAACGGTGAACGTGTCACGCGCGAGATCTTTCGGCAATGCTCAAAGAGCTCGCGCAGAGAGCCACGACGCACGTCTAGAAAGCCAACAACTCAACGACGCGCGAAAACACGTCGGCGACTGCGGCGAACTTGTGATCCCAATTCGGCTTCGCTGGCGCCTGTGGCTAACTTGTTCTGTTTTCGTGAAAAGCCAGCGCCTGCGGCGGGCTTCGCGCCGCGCGCCAAGACAACACCCGACAAAGCCCGCGCCGTGCCGACTTGCTCGACGCGGGCAAAATTGCATCGGGTTCTTTAAACTTGTGGCGAACATGACGTTCACCAACCAACGGTGTCGACCATTAACTTGCGCTGCGAACAGTCACCTCGCACAGTGCAAAATGTAATCCGACACGACGTGCTCGTACGAACCCTTGCTGATTTCTTTCGCGCGCGGCATTCCAGGAAGGCAAGCGACTGAATCTTCGCTGGGGGATTTAAGTCACAGGACCGAATGACAAGACGAAACGGATGGCGACGAGGTGGCGACGAGGGCGCCGATGTATGGGGGCGACCACAACCGAAAACATGTGATGGTAGATGCGGTCGCGGTTCTACCGCCAACGTTCAGGCGCCTACTTGCATCTTCGGGCAACAGGTGAACGAACGGTTTCGGATGTCCTAACCGATCTGGAATCGCCACAACGTCGTGACAAAAAAACGCCAACATCACTGACGACGCACTGCGAATCTACATAATCGGCGATTCTGCTTCCTTGAACTGCGGGAAGCTGGCGCCCCAACAACCCCCTCTAGAGGAGAGCCGATTGTGCCCCCACGGCAATTCCAAGACGTGTGCATCCTTCCTTCGGCGAGGACCATCGAGGAGCATCTTGGGTCATTTGGCGAATAAGCCACGCACGAAACCGAAAAAAGCACAGAGAATGGATGTCCGAGCGATGGCCAGAGACTTCCACGGTCCAGGGAGGAGGCGCGCGCGTGGAGGAGGGGCAGCGGAGGGGGTGGTAATGCCGATGTGGACGCACGTGGGGTACGCTTGGCTCCCAGCTGGGGTCGAAGCAGACGGGGTCGAGAGATCACACGCGTCGCCGATGCATCGGCGACGCGGCTCGATGAGGAGCTGGATTGTCTCCGCGACGTCGTCGATGCATCTCCGATGTCGACGACACATCGCCGATGCATCGGCGATGCGGCGCGATCTTCCGACCCCATCTACTCCAGATCTCGTAATAAAAGGGAGGGGGTCTGGACCCTCCAAGACAAGCAATTTCAGACCCCCCCCCCGTGGGAGAACCCTCCAAAACATCGTCCCCAGACCCCCCCAGGCCCTCCAAGATAGCCTGGAAGAGACCCCCCCCTAAATGAGACCCCCCTCCCTTTATTACGAAATCTGGACTAGTCGGACCCCATCTAAGAGGCCTCTAGGAGTGCGAGGAGGAGTCTGATGAGGAGCTGCCGGGGAGAGGAGTGCGCACGCCGGGTGCGTGCATGCTCCGCTTGCGCATGGACGGGCTCGTCTGCGCGCCTGCCGCCTGCCGACGAGACAGATGGCCAATCGGTCCAGGATAGTTTCGTGGGTGCACGCATGTGCGCGTGCTCGCGCACGTATGCGTACTCCAGATTTCGTAATAAAAGGTAGGGGGTCTGGACCCTCCAAGACAAGCCATTTCAGACCCCCCCCGTGGGAGAACCCTCCAAAACATCGTCCCCAGACCCCCCCAGGCCCATCAAGATAGCCTGGAAGAGACCCCCCCCGAAATGAGACCCCCCTCCCTTTTATTACGAAATCTGGAGTAGTTTCGTGGCTGCACGCATGTGCGCGTGCTCGCGCACGTATGCGTAGACGTATGCGGCGCGGCCAGGGGGTGAGCTGTCCTGCGCGCATTCGCATCATCGAGCGTGTGGCCAATCGGGCTGCCTCGCCGCGCGCATCTGCGATCGCGCTGAGGACCGCTGGTGGGGCCTGGCGGGGGGGCGGCCGGGAGGCTGTGGTTCCGCTTGCGCCTGGAGCCATCCCGGCCCAGGCCGTGCTGGTTGCAGCCCGCTCGAGCTCAGCCCTCAGGCCCTCCGAGCTTGGCAGCGCTCGGACGTGTGCATTCTTCCTTCAGCGAGGACCATCGAGGAGCATCCTTGATCATTTGGCGAAAAGGCGACGCGGACTGCGTGCACGGTCTCCCCCTCCGCGGCCGGTGCCGACGGTCCCCCCCCCCCGCGACGGCCGCTATTATATGACCTCGCCGGCGGGCAATCTCTGCCCGCGTCCGCGGCCTCGCGGGCCGGGCTCCGGGGGGCCACGACCCAACGGAGGCGTGGCGCGTCGTCTCGCGGGCGATGCCCGCGCGGAGCAGCAAGGCGAGGCGACCGCGCGGCCGCGGCATCGCGCCCAGGGGTCCCGACTGCGCTGGCGGGGACATGGGCATGTGCGCCGCTCGTGCCGACAGTGGTGGGAATCTCCGGGCCAGCCAGGAGAAGCGCGACGAGCATCGTTCCCAGCACGATCGTGCTCATCCTCCCTCGGTGGAGGCAACCGCTGATACGGTACTGGTGTTTGTGCCAACCTTTGTGTGCCAACCTTTGAGCCTCCCATTATCTAGGCCTCCCAAAGGAAGTCCGAGTAGATGGGGTCGGAGGATCGCGCCGCATCGACGGTGCATCGGCGATGCGGCGCGATGCAGAGCCGGATTTGTTTCCACGCTGATGGCGCTGATGCCTCGCCGACGTCGGCGATGCATGGGCGATGCATCGGCGATGCGGTGCAATCCTCTGACACCATCTGCTCGGACCCCATCTTCGCCGGCGAGAAGGAGAAGGCCTTCTCGGAAGGCTCGGAAGTCCCCCGGCCTCCTGAGCAGTTCTCTGAGCCTTCCAAGCAGACAGAAACCAAACCTCCTCGGAAGCGCGAGGGCTTCCGAGAAGTCCCCACGCCCACCGAGGCGGCCTCCTCCTTCCCACTTCTTCCCCCCCCTCGCTCGCCGCCGACAGCCAGGAGGCCGCCATGGCGCGCACGCGGCGCCAGCGCGGCCTGGCACGCCTGCGGCGCGTGCGGCGCGCGGGCTGCGCGCGGCGCGCGGCGGCGGGCGCGCGGGGCGCTGCCGCGGTGGAGCTGCATGCGCCGGCGGGCGGCGCGCGCGGCGGGCGTCGGCGAAGCACGCGCGGCGGCGGCGTGCCCGCGCGCGTGCTGCGGCCGCTGGGGCCGCGGGAGGCGGCTGCCGGCGGGGCCGCGCGAGCGAAGGACTCCTCGGTCGTCCAAAGGCCGAAGGGGCGGCAGTCGGCACGCGAACAGAGGAGGAGGGGGAGGAGGAGGAGGAGGAGGAGGAGGAGGAGGAGGAGGAGGAGGAGGAGGAGGAGGAGGAGGAGGAGGAGGAGGAGGAGGAGGTGGAGGGGTAGGAGGAGGTTAGGAGGAGGAGGAGGTGGGAGGAGGAGGAGGGGAGGAGGAGGAGGAGGAGGAGGCGGAGGAGGAGGAGGAGAGGACCATCAGCTTTTGGAGCCCCGCGCGGATTTTCTGGGTCGGCGCTGCAACCCCCCTCCCCGGCGCGCGGAGCGCGCCAGGGTCGGCGCCCGAGGCGCGCCGACAGCTGGCCCAGCGCTGGTCCGAGACTGCCGCGCGGAGCGCCGAAAGGGCATGTGAATGTCATGTGCTGTTCCCTCGCAAATCGGGTCCAGGCAGATGGGGTCGGAGGACCGCGCCGCCTCGCCGATGCGCAAGCGGTGCGGTTCGATGTGGAGTCAGGTGCAGTCGGGGCCCTGCAGAAGGAACCCTTTTGGTTGGGGAGGGGCTCCGCGTTCCTTACGTGTTTCACAGCTTGCCTCAGGCTGTCCTTATGTTTTCGACCGGAAATCGAAGGTTAACTTATGGAAAAAAGGGGCCTCGTTCCTTATTTAGGGTTCCTTAGGTCAACGCCCCGACTGTAAGTCTCCATGTTGATGTCACCGATACATCGCCGTCGTCGACGGTGCATCGCCGATGCTCAAGCGCAATGGCGAAGCAGTGGCGACGCATTCCGAGGCGGCCGCAGGCTGCTCTGGGCAGGGCTGTGCGAGCGAAGGGCGTCACGAGCTCGGGAGAGGAACAGAGGTGCACCAATATCTCGAAGTACTAGCAACGGCATGAACTCGGCGGCGAGCGAGGGGGGGAATTGAGAAGGAGAAGACCTTCTCAGAAGGCGGCGGGACTTCTCAGAAGCCCTCGCGCCTTCTGAGAAGTTGTTTTTGTCTTCGGGGATGGCTTAGAAAACTTCTCAGAAGTCCCGGGGACTTCCGAGCCTTTGAGAAGGTACGCCCCTTCTCACTTCCCCCTTGGCTCGCCGCCTATGAACAGAAACTTTCGGAGCTCTGCGGGGATTCACTGGATCGGCGGTGAGGAACCCCTTGCGGCGCCTCCGGCGCCGCCCCCGGGCGCGCTCGGCGCGCCAAGGGGGAGGCGTTCCAGCGCCGATCCAAGTTATCCGCACGGACCTTCGAGAAGCTATGATTCTATTGTTGTACCCGTCCCTCACATACCTCTACCCACTCCTCGTCACCGCGGCCGAATTCGCGTCGGTATTCCTGTCAGAACTGGCACGCGATCCCACGGATACGCGGTGGCATGGTCTCGGGCATGGCTGGGACGAGGACAAAATCCGTTCCGGAGCGTTCCAGAACGCTCTCAGAGCGCTCTGGAAGGCTCCGAGAAGGCCGCGGCGCCTGAGGCATCCTCTCGAGCCGCCAGATTCGGGTATAGCCAGGACCCCAGGTAAGGGGACCCGGTTAGTAGTAGGGCCCCAGAGCTTCTAAATTGGCCAGAATCACTCAACCAGGTCTACCGTAGTTGGTGTTGTTTCGGGCGATGGCGGTTCCAGCTAGTGGAACGGAGCGGGGGGGGGCGTCCCCCAGTGCACATCGCTAAATCGGGTCCAGCTAAACCCTGTTCTGCCAACGCCCGTCAGATTCTCGATGTTATCCTCACCCGAGCTGTCTTCGTCCTGGCTTCGCCATCTGGCCTGCGTCCCGCGGAGGGCGTCCGCGACAGAGCGCCCCGCATCCAGGGCCAAGTCGGGCACGTCCCTCTACAGGGGGACGATGCAAAAATAGGATCAAAGTGACCAGTCTGGGGACGCTGCTTCGTGCTTTTGCGGATGATTTTGAGCGCCTTTCTCTCTCCAGCTGTTTGACCTGCTTCCTCCGAAAATCTGCCTGTATAAGGGGGACGTGCCTGACCTACAAATCCACGGGGGGCCGCGGAGCCCGGGGGCGGCCGGCCCGCGGGAGGCCGTGGGCACACACAGAGCTCTCCGCGCGTGGCCCCCGCCCGTTTGCGCGAGGACGGCAAGGACCGGCGCGTGGAGGCCCGCGACAGCATGAAGCGGGCGCTGCCCCGGTGCTCCGGCGAGGAAGACGCCTCGAAGCCCTCCTCCCTCCTCCCTCCTCCCTCCTCCTCCCTCCTCCTCCTCCCCCTCCTCCTCCTCCTCCTCCTTCCTCCTCCTTCTCCTCATCCTCCGCCACTCCTTCATTCTTCCTCCTCCTCTCCTCCTCCTTCACTAGTTGGGCGGTCGGAGTGTGGAAAGTTTGATGGGATCGGTATTGATCGCGCTCTTTGCTATCTCTTTGGGGGCCGGGAAAAGAGGGGGGTGATGACCAGGGGGGGGGGGGGGGGGGGGTGGGGTGGCGGGGATTTCATGGCGCGGGCCATGATTTTTCCTCAGATCTCATGGCGCCTCTTCTTGTTTTATGACGTCCCAGGCCCCCCCGCCGGGCCGCGCACGTGCCGCCGGTCATGATTTGCACCCCCCCCTCTTGGACACCCCCCTCTTGGCCGCTCCCGAGGGGCGGCAATCCATCGGCGCCACCCCAGCAGACTCAAGATTTCGTAAGACAGGGAGGGGGGTCTCATTTCGGGGGGGGTGGGGGGGGTGGGGGGGGGGGTCTCTTCCAGGCTATCTTGGAGGGCCTGGGGGGTCTGGGGACGATGTTTTGGAGGGTTCTCCCACGGGGGAGGCCTGAAATGGCTTGTCTTGGAGGGTCCAGACCCCCTCCCTTTTATTACGAAATCTGGAATTAGACTCACTACTACATTGTGCGTCGCACCCCCAGGGGCGGTCGCGCGCCACTACGGTATGAGCGTCGTGGAGGGCGCCTCTCGGAGGCTTTCTGGCCACACCGGCACACCGCTCTCGGGGGGGGAACGATATACGACAAGATGGGTTTGCTATCTGTGCGCCGGGTCGGACGCGGCATTCCAAGCAGAACAAATGGCGACTAGTTTGTCCCTGTGCGTCCCATTCTAGGCGCGACGTTGCCCCCCAATGGGGTCGAAGCAGATGGGTGGTCGGAGGTCTAGCGCCAGCATCGCCGATGCATCGGCGGTTTCGATGCGGGGGCTACTTTGCGGATAGCAAGCTCTGATTTTCTCCGCGGCAGGCTTAGGGGTGTCTGCCCCGGTGCTCTGGCAAGGTGGAGATTCGTCGAGGGGCGTAAACATAGGAGGATTCATGTTGTGCGCGGCCCGTCCCAGAGTTTATTCGGTATCGCTAAACCGACCCCCGTCCCCATCCTCATCCCCTTCGAGACCCCCACCAAGTTACCACCCCAGTTGGGGATACACCCCTAGAAACCCGAAGGGGACGGCCTATATCCCCATCTAGGAGGGGAAATCGGCCAGTGGGGCCCAGGCCACGCCGCTGGGGATGGGGGTCGGATAAACGATGCTCAGGTATAAGATCGAGGTCGGTTCGGGGAGGGTGCTCTCATGTGTTGCGTGCTTCTTGGGCGTTCTCATGCACCCTGGGACAGGGTAGCTGCACTCGAGTGTTCTTCCTTTCGGAGAGTCCTGAAGGTAGTTTTTCTGTGCCAGGTCTGGCCGTATTGCGGCGCACCTTCCTCCCCTCACCTCGGGTGCGGCCAAGAGAGGGTGATGACTAGGGGAGGGGTGGATATCATGGCGGGGGCCATGATATCTCCCCAGATTTCATGGTGCCTTTCCTTATTTTAATACGTCCCCGGCCGCCCCCCCCCAGGCCCCCCATCTTGAACGCCCCCTTCTTGGCCGCTCCCGAAATGAAACGGGGTCGTGTTCGCCGACATTGGCGCGGAAGTTGCCCGCGTAAGGTCGCGCGAAAGCGCCCTCTTCTCCAAGGTGGCGTGCCGCGCTGGCCCGCGTAAGCCGCCGCGCAAGGTCGCGGTGTCATCTCGCGTAAAACCCGTTTTGGACCGTCGCTCAATTTTCAGGGGGGGAAACCACTCAGACACAATTAATCGACGACTCCTAGGAAAATATGGGAAACTATTGGAAGCGGGGTGGAAGCCGAAAACCCAGAAAACATAGGAAAATGTGGGGAACCCTCAGATTTATATGTATTTGTTTGTGTGCCCTTGGGCCCCTTCAAAGAAGCCACCCTCAATCCTTCGAGTAATCCGGAGTGCGGCGAGCGAGAGCCCTACTTTGCAAACGTGCCGTCCTTCTCCTCCTCCTCCTCCTCCTCCTCCACCTCCTCCTCCTCCTCCTCTCCTCCTCCTCCTCCTCCTCCTCCTCCTCCTCCTCCTCCTCCTCCTCCTCCTGATGTCTCCTGGTCTAGCCCTTGTGCGCTCGCCTGCTGTGCGAGAGCCCCCCCCCCCCCCCAGGCCCCACTCGTGGATCCGGCTCGGCCCTCCTCAGCGTTTCTGGCAGCGTCAGGCTCGTCTCCGCGCGTCCCGGAGCCCAGGTGGTGTCTGCCCTCCCCCAGGCTTGGCATCGCTCGGACGTGTGCATTTTTTTCTCGGCGAGAGCCCTCGAGGACCATCCTGGACCATCGAGCAAAAAAAAGCACGCACGACATCGAAAAATGCACGGGAAATGGACGTCCGAGCGACGGCAAGCAGGCCACTGTAGCGAGATTCTCGGAGTCCACGCGCAGGCCCTGCGGGATTTGAATCACAAGTGTGTCAGATTTGCCTGCTCGAACGGCTCCCTGATGGTTGCTTGCACGGAGTGCAAGAGGTGCACGTCTAGGGCTCGTCTCGCCAAGCTTCGAGAGCTTTGTTCAGGCCGGCGTCGTGACAAGTACAATCCAGATTGTTGGAATAAGATTTGCAAAGGGCTCCATCCGCAAGAGAAGGGGTCACCTTGCTATCGGATACTTTCGGCGTGCCCTAGACGCGCAGCGGGGCAGTGGTGCTCAAAAAAGTCCTCCCCCTCCCCTTCCACCTCCTCATCCCTCCTCCTCCTCCTCCTCCTCCTCCTCCTCCTCCTCCCTCCTCCTCCTCCTCCTCCTCCTCCTTCATCCTCCTGCCTCCCTCCTCCTTCCTCCCTCCTTCTCCTCCCTCATCCCTCCTCCTCCCCATCCACTCCTCTCCTCTGCCTCCTTCCATCCTCCTCTCCTCCTCCTCCTACTCCTCTCCTCCTCCCTCCTCCTCCTCCTTCCCCTCTTCCTCCTCCTCCTATCACTCCTCTCCCTCCCTTTTCCTCCTATCCCTCCTTCTCCTCCTTCCTCCCCTCCTCCTCCTCCTCCTCCTCTAAAATGGGGGGGCACCTTTTTCGTGGGGGGGGCCCAAGCTCGGGGGAGCCCACAGCCGCACGAGCACCATCGCTGCGGAGGTCCGCGCGGGTGTTCCCCGGATCGGCCCGCCCGGGCCTGCTGGCGGCGCCTGCGCGGCGCCGCGCTCCGGGGACACCGGGGGGGGGGGGGGGGCCAACGCCGATCCGAGAAATCTGCGCGGGCCTCCTCTCCTCCTACCTCCTCCCCTCCGCCTGCTCCTCCGCCTGCTCCTCCTCCTCCTCCTCCTCCTCCTCCTCCTCCTCCTCCTCCTCCTCCACCTCCCTCGCATTGTTTTCAAAGGGGAACAAAAATTGACGTAAACATTAAAACTCGGAGGCCCGCGCGAATTTCTCGCATCGGCGATGGGACCCCCCTCCCTGGCGCGCCAGGGGCGGCGCTGGAGGCGCCGCCGGGGGGCCCCAGCGCCGATCCGAGAAATCCGCGCGGACCTCCGAGTTTTTATGTTTATGCCACTGTTTGTTCCCCTAAAACATGGATCAAGGGGGCGTGGATTAGCGACGGGTCCCGTTTCGACGGGAGATCGCGGATTCCCGCCGCCGAGCGAGGCGGCACCGGCCGCATGTTGGGGGAGGGCACCTCCCCCGATCCATGGATTTGGCGACCGCGCGCCAACTCCATGGACTGCTAATCCATCTTTGCGCGCCCCCGATCTGCGCGGACCTCAAAGTTCATGTTCCTCTCACTGTTTGTTCCTCTACAGACGGTGTGGTGACCACAGCGCGTAATGACTCAGTGGGGATTCGGCGTTACCGTACGGTTTTGGGCCTCGGGTCTTTCTGCGAGGGCGTCTTGGACGACCGGGGCATCCGAGGTCCAAAGGCCGTGCGGTGACGGACCGCGCGGTGGGCTCGTTGGGGATTCCGAGGTCACCACGCGGTCCGTCATCACACCGCTTGGGGCCCCAAAGATCTTGTCGAGTCAGATCCTGGTCATGGTCCAATCTATCCGTCGCCGATATGCGAGGATGATCCACGCATTGATGGTGACCAAGATGGACGGTGACCAACATCAACTCGGACGTGTCCGCGTTGTTCAGTCTTGGTCATGATCATTGCTCTTTTCCCCCGAGGAACGACACTAGGGCTTAAGAATCGATTGTGCGCAGATCTCTTGGACCTGCGCTGGGCCCCTGCGGCGGCGCCTCCAGCGCCCCCCTTGTCGCGCTCCGCGCGCCAGGGGGGCGGGGGTCCAGCGCCGATCCAAGAGATCCTCCCAGGCCTTCGAGAGCTTGCGTCTCGATCGTTTGTGCTGATGCAGGTACGCGCGCATCAACACGCTGGCGCACGGGGTCACGTGGGGGCACGTCCGGCGGGAGCTGGATCGGACAGGGCATGTTTGGTGGCGCCCCAGCGCCAAGGAGAAGCAGACCGTGGCTGGCACCACGCTCAACCCGGAGGTGCCGAAGGGGGCAGGCAGCAACGTGTATTTCCGGGACATGCATGTGGAGGATCCTCGGTAGCAATTCGTGGGAGCCGTGTACACCCTCGCAGATCCGTCTTTGGTGTGCACTAGCGTCGACCCAGCGTCTGGCAACACCTGAGGTAGCGCCGGTTTCGCATCGATCAGCGTCGACCAGCGTCGATCCGCAAGAGCTAACAGGATGGTGCGGGAGGCTCCCATGAGTTTCTGCCACCGGCGAGGATCTACTGGTCTTCTGCCCCATTCGAGGAGGGGCAGAAGTGGCACGAGCATGATGAGCTTTCGGAGGTCCGCCCAGACTTCTCGCATCGGCGCCGGAGCCCCCCTCACTGGCGCGCTGGGGGCGCCGCCAGGGGCGGCGCTGGAGGCGCCACCAGGGGGGGGGGGGCGGCGCCGGCCTGGGAGCAAATCCGCGCGGGCCTCCGAAGGCCTGGGTTTGTGCTGTCCTTCTGTTCCTCTGCCCCATGGGCCAGTCGCAGACCTCGGACATCTCCAGGCCTCCCAAATGGGTTCGAAGTACAGCCGGACCGAGGCATGAGATCGAGGTCGGTTCGGGGAGGCTGCCCAAGTGTCCTGCATGGCTGTTGGATATTATTGTGTATCCTGGGGAGGGACCCCCTGGATGTTCTGTCTGTTTTGGCAGGCGGAGGGTTCCATATTCTTGAGCCATGTTTTTGTGTCCCAGGTCCGACTGTAGATAGGGTCGAAGGATCGCGCCGCATCGTGGATGCATCGGTGATGCGGGTCGAGGTGGAGCTCAACTTTCTCCACGTCGACGTCGACGATGCATCGCCGATGCATCGTCGATGCATCGCCGATGCATCGTCGACGCGACGCGATCCCTCGGCCCCATCCAACCCGACCCCATCTGGAAGGCCTCTGGACCGCGGGGGGCGACAGCTGTACGTAGCCGCTGCCCCCTGCCAGGCTCAGCCTGGGCCCAGCGCTGTGCAGCTTCGGAGAAGAAAGCCCCGGAGGGAGAGAAACACACAGACACAATGGATCGTCGATTCCCCCGAAAACATGGGAAACCATGGGAAGTGGTGGGGGGGGGAAGACGAACACCCAGGAAATAGGGGGAGGTATGGGGAATCCTTGTTAGTTTTTGTGTGTGTGTGTGTGTGTATGTGTGTGTGTGTGTGTGTGTTTGTCTGTGTGTCCCAGGGGCCCCTTTCAAAAGCACGGCACAAGCATAGTCCTTCGGAGTTCTCCGCGCATGCCTTGGATCTGCGCCGGGCGCCCCCCGGCGGGGTCGCCAGGCGCCGCCCCTGGCGTGCGCGCCGAGCCCAAGCGTGCGCGCGGACCTCCGACGACAGGTTCTGTGCATGCAGTGTTTCTCATGACTCTCTCTCTCTCTCTCCCCTTTATCCGTAAGGGCGTCGCCCCCTGCCGCCGGCCCCCTCTCTCGGAGAATGGGCCATGGAAGAGCTAAGTCATGAGGCCTTGGCGCTGTCGTGAAGCAGTATCGAAACTTCATGCGAAGCCGATTCGCAATCAGCAAAACCAACTGATCACAAGAGGGGTTACCACACCTGGCGATTGGTAAGACGTGTATGGTTTACGGGCTTGGTTACCACACCTTGCGATTAAAGGGCCGAGGGAGTTCTCGCAGTTTGGGTTACCACGCCTTGCGATACCACCGAATTTCAGAAATGTGGCAAATCCCGTGTTTTTGGACCCTGGATCTGCGTGAGGGGTGGCACCGAATTTCAGAAATGTGGCAAATCCCATGTGTTTTTGGACCCTGACCCCGCGGATCTGCGTGAGGGGTGGCACCGAATTTCAGAAATGTGGCAAATCCCCTGTGTTTTTGGACCCTGACCCCGCGGATCTGCGTGAGGGGTGGCACCGAATTTCAGAAATGTGGCAAATCCCATGTGTTTTTGGACCCTGACCCCGCGGATCTGCGTGAGGGGTGGCACCGAATTTCAGAAATGTGGCAAATCCCATGTGTTTTTGGACCCTGACCCCGCGGATCTGCGTGAGGGGTGGCACCGAATTTCAGAAATGTGGCAAATCCCATGTGTTTTTGACCCTGACCCCGCGGATCTGCGTGAGGGGTGGCACCGAATTTCAGAAATGTGGCAAATCCCATGTGTTTTTGGACCCTGACCCCGCGGATCTGCGTGAGGGGTGGCACCGAATTTCAGAAATGTGACAAATCCCATGTGTTTTTGGACCCTGACCCAGCGGATCTGCGTGAGGGGTGGCACCGAATTTCAGAAATGTGGCAAATCCCATGTGTTTTTGGATCCTGACCCCGCGGATCTGCGTGAGGGGTGTCGATTTCGAGCCCCCCCAGCAATTCAGACAACGCGCCCAGGGGGTGCCAAAACTTTGGTTTGGGCCTCCCCCCCCCTCGCGCGGTCAATCAACTAGTTACAGCAACCAGCTATAAGCAGAACTGTAACACTGGAAACTACAAACTACAACTGGTACTGGAAACTGCGAACCCCGCTCCTCGCAGCCTGGTGGCCCCACAAGGCGGCCGGCGGATTTGTTTTTTTTTTTGTTCTCTCTCTCTCTCTCTCCCTCTCTCTCTCCCTCTCTCTCTCTGTTCCAGCTGATGCTGCTCATCACGGCAGTGACGGGGCGGGCGCGCCGCCGCAGGACGGACCAGCGGTGTCGCGTGCGCAGTATTCGCGCGCGCGCTGCGCCGCTGCCGCGCCGCGCTGCCGCCGCTGGTTTGCTTTTGCTCTTGCGCTCGGCAGGATGGATCGAGGAGTCGCCTCCCTCTCCCCCTGCTGCCGTCTCACCTTTCCTCCCTCCGTCCCCCACGGTACAGGAGTGAGGAGGTTTTTTCGAGGCAGTTTTGCCGATGTTTATGAACCCCCCCGGCGCAGCGTCGACCATGCCTTGCCTACACTTTTGGCCCGACGGCGGCTTCAGCCCCGTCCAAGCAAATCTGCTGTGACGCCATGAGCTCCTACTGTGGCCAAGCCTCCTACCTGGGTGACGGCCAGGCCGCCCTCCACCGTGCGGGGCGTGCTAACCCCAGCTCCACCGACGGAGATGGGCCAGGTCGCTCCATCCACCTCGTCAGCCTCAACATCACGAGTCTTCCAGCGAACTGGCCAACCATTACCGCCCTAGGTGTCGACCACAACGCCGCAGTCATAGCGCTGCAGGAGACCCGTCATGCCAAGCCTACCAGGCAAGCCATCGCCACCAACGCCGCCAATCCACACCACGGAGGATACCAGGCCAGTCTGGGACCTGACCTGGACCTGGCGCGTGCCCAGCGCAAAGCTGCTCACGGTGGCACGGACCACACGGTCGAGGGCAACACCGGCGCCTCGGGCGGGGTTGCCATCCTCTCTAAGGACGCCATCGTCGACTCCACCGTCGACGACATTGCGACCTGTATCGCCACCCTCAAGGCCAAGAAACGATGGCACGAGGCCTTCCTCCCGCTCTGCACCCAGCACCGCCGCAGGCGGCGACGAAACAACCACGGTCCCGCTGGGATCTACATTGCGAGCCTCTACGGGGTCGCTGGAGGGGACAGCACCGATATATTTCGGCTTGCTGATTGCGCCGCCGCGAGGGTCGGCTCAGCCCCGTATTTCATTTGTATGGACGCCAACACGAACATCGACGACAATCCACACCTGCTGCACATGATGCAGCACGGATGGTCCAACGTCGCTGAAGGCACACCAGACCACACCATGCACACATATGGCAATATCCCTGACTGGGACCGCGTCACCAAGTGCCCCCGCACTTCGCGCATCGACTATGTCATCGCCAACCAAGCTGCGCGATCCCTTGTCACCGACTTCTGCTATCTGCGTGACTTGCCAGCGAAGTCCCATGTTGGCCTGCAGGTCACACTCGACCTAAGCCGCCTCGATCACACGGCCCCACGCCTTTTGGCCCCCACGCCATACCCTCCAAACGACGGAGCTCATGAGGACCACGAACTCCAGGCACTAGGGACCCACATCGCCGGACGATACCACGACCGCATGGAGCAGGCTGACGCACGCGACGATGTGGAACGCATGTTCGCCCTGGCAAACGAGGCCAGCCATGAGTACCATCTCACCCGGCTGCGGGACCTGCCGCCCCCACCGCCAGACCACCCAAAAAAGAAGGCCCCTACCATGCACGGGCTCACACCCACGTTCGAGGAGCGACCCGCCGTCCCCCGCGCCTTTCCCACCTACGGAGCTTCCACGATTCACATGAACCGCCTTCGCAAGCTCCATCGGCAACTTTGCGAGCTTCGCTTCATCGGACTGCACCATCATATAGACTGCCGTGCTATCCCGCCGCACCCGGCGCAACGCATCGACTGCACGTGGGCCGCGGCCCGCCTTCTCTGCCACAAGCTGCGCCCCACGGCCCTCCTGGCTTTTCCTGACGCCTGGACCCCCGACGTGCCAGCGCCACGCGGAGAGCAGCTCGATCGTCTGATCCAAAATCTAGACTCGGAGCTGGCGCGACGTGCAAACCGAGCCAAAGCTGAACGCATCAAGATCTGGTCTGAGGGCGTCCGCGAGCCAAGCGGGCGAAAGGCGGCCATATACGCACGGGCTGCCGACTGCTCGCCCACGGCGTATCTCCGCACGCCTACCACTCCCGACGATGCACAGCTCCACTGCGACATCACCGCCTTCAACCCTGACCAAGCTAGCACGGACGACAGTGACGCCGACACCGACGCCGGCGGCTTCAGCCCCGGCGACGGTAGCTCGCCCGACACGGACAACGACGACGGCCCCATTCGTGGCCCACTACCAGCCCAGGTTCCCGACGCCCTCCCCGCCAACGCTATCGTTGCCAACACCAAAGACATGCTCAAGCTCATGGTCGACACCTGGGAGCCCATCCTGGGCACGTACCGCGCTCGCGCGGGCCATGACGCCGAAGCTATGCCGACGTGGGCGGACTTCTACGACGAATACCGCCAAGAGCTGCCTACGCCATCACCAGCAGCCCCCTTCCACCTTACCGACGACCAACTCATCCACTTCATTCGCGCCCGTTCACCGCGCCGCGCGGGGGGACTCGACGGCTGGACGACCAAGGAGGCAAAGGAGTTACCCGACGACATCCTTCGCCTCTTCGCCAGCGTCTTACGTGCTATGCAACGCACTGGCACCATCCCCGAGCCCCTCCTGCACGTGCCAAACCCGTGCCTCCGAAAAGGCCGAGGGGAACTCCCGACGGACCAACGGCTTCTCTCGGTTCTTTCCGTGTGGATGTATGCGTGGGAGGCGCCGGCCTACCGTAGCCTCACGACCTGGCGGCAAGGATGGACCCATGCCACGAGCTTCGGCGCCGTTCCCAAAGCCACCATTGGGGATGTCAGCACTTCTCTCGCCCTGCGCATCGAACACGCCAGGACTTTACTCCTCCCCTTAGCTGGAGCAGCCCTTGACCGACAGAAGTGCTTCGACTACCTCATCACGGACATCTGTCTAAACCTTGCGCTGCACGCGGGGTGCCCACAAGACATCGTTACTGTCCGCCGAAACTTCTACAGACACCACAAACGCTACATCCGCATGAACGGAGCGTACTCCAGGGACCTGGCCAGGACAAACGGTCACCTCCAGGGCAGCTCGTGGTCCCTGGATGACATCAAGCTGCTCATGTGCGTGTGGACAAAGAGGCAGCACCGATACGTTCCTCGATCACTCAGCACTACCTTCGTTGACGACAGCAACTCCACTACCCACACCGCTCCTGAGCTGCAGAAATCTCTCGACGAAACCGCCAAGTTTGACCGATTCTCCGGTCAACGCATTCACCCTGGTAAAGTGGCAGGGTGGGCGCTCACCGATGAGCTGCACGCCGCCGTCACCCAGCTCACACTGGCGGATCGCCCCCTCCGAGTGGTCGATTCCTTCAAGCTCGTCGGGAGTTACATCAACGCCGAGGCAGCGCCGGCTCCAGCCGCGCTTAACCTCACGGCCACCGCAGACGCCCGTGTGCGGAGGGCGACTATCCGCCTGCCGCGCATTGGCAAGCTCCCGTCGCCGATGCTTATCAAGGCGCGGCACGCCCGATCCCTGGCCGCCAGCGTCTGCACCACGGGCACCGACATCCAAGCACCATCAGGCCCAGCCAAGACTGCCTACAACCACGCCCTCAAGGCGGCTATCCGCCCCAAGGGGAACAAGTGGGTCGAGTTCTGGACTCTCATGGCCGTGTGCGTGCCGGGACACGCCCTTGAGATCGACGCCATCACGCAGCGTGAAGCATTCCTGTGCCTGCGGCGTCAGGTTAACCGCGACGTCACACTCTGCGGGCTCGCCAGAGACCTCCAACACCACGTCCAGACCCTGTTTGGTGGAGGACCCGTCGGGCGACTCGTCCAGTCGCTCCAGCAGCTCCGATGGACCTGGCCCACATTTGGCATCATGTACGATGACTGGGGCTGCCCGATCAGCTGGCTGAATCTACCCCAAAACGCCTTCCTGCACATGCTGCGGGCCTCACAACGCAGGGCATTTCTGCGGAAGATCAAGCCACGGCGACACGACCTTGGCTACCTCGCCTCGGTCAGACAGGGCCTTGACCTCTTCGCCAGCACGTGGCTCGCGCGAACCAAAGGAGCAGCCAAATGCACTGCCTGGCAGCTGGCGCTCCTCCTGAACTACCTGTCGGGCGGGGACCACACCCAACAGCGACGATCCCGATCCAACACGTCGGCAGACCCCAGCCCCATGTGCCGCTACTGCGACGAGGAAGAGGAAACTCAGGAGCACACTGTCCGCGACTGTAAGTGCTGGGCCCGAGAAAGAGTTCCTCTCACCACCCTCATCAGTGACGACCAGTGGGCCCGTCTTCCGCCGCACGCAAGACACTGCGGGCTCTTCGACGAAGACCCAGCCCTCCTCGACCTGCAGGCCGACCTCGCGAGGGACCCGCTGCCACAGCCCATCCCGCGGCCCCCCCCTGAGGGTGATCCTGCGGCTTCAGCCCAGGACACCTACACCACCTACCTTGACAACGACACTGGATGGACATGGGTCTATGCTGCCACGGACGGTGCGTGCACCAACCAAGCCATCCCACTCCTAGCACGAGCGGGCTACGGCGTCTACTACGGCATCGACCACCGCATGAACTACAGTGCACGCGTTCACGGCCTAACGCAGAACGCCCAGGTTGCGGAGACCCTTGCCATCGTCCACCTTACGGCGTGTGCCGAACGGCCCGTGCACGTCTTCGTGGACAACCAGGCGGTGGTCGATGGGTTCCAAAGCATCATCGACGGACATCCAGCGCCGCAGGGCACGCACGCGGAGCTCTGGGCAATGATTCACCGATGTGTCATGGCCAAGCCCGACATGTTTCGCGTCGAAAAAGTCGCCAGCCACCTGGGAGACCTGGGCATCGACCTTGGGCTCATCGGGCCCATCGCGGAGGAGTTCAACCGTCAGGCCGACGCCCTTGCCACAGCGGCGGCACGCACGCACAACCTCCCCGACGACATCGTTGAAGCTGCCAAAACACGACATCGCCAAGCGACCGTGCTTCACGGGGTCGCTGTCGCCATCTACGAGCGCAGACACCGTACTCTGCCGCTCCCACACCGCAGGGCTGGGTTTACAGCGGCTGAACTCAGCAAAATGGAACCGAACCCCCTGCTGTCGGACCAGGCACCACCCGCGGCTGGACCAGACATCCCGCAGAACCCGGACGAGCTCTGGGCCGAGGCCCAACGGGCGATGTACGACGAACAGGAGGACGACCCGTTCGGCTTCGGCGGGGGACTAGACTTCCTGGACGACGGGCCAGCCAGCGCCAACCTTGCCCCGTCGGGCATCCGCACGACGCCCACCTCGACTCCGCCACCGAGAGCGGCACCGCACCCACATGATGACGTCGCTCACCTCCAAGACGCCGACGAGGACTTTTATGATCCCCTCGGATTGGGTGGCAGCATAGACGACGTCCCGCCGACACCCCACGCTGCCGACGATGCCGCTTCATCGAGTCGCCACCCGGTCACGCGGCCGACCTCTGAGCCCTCGCACGGCATCATGATTGGTCCCTCCGTGCCACCAACCCCGTCCCCCCACCAGCGCCAGCCCGCGGGGGCGGCTTCAGCCCCCCCGCAGGGCACTGAGCCAGTCAGGCCGTCGCGCCCCGTCCACGCTCCTACTGTTGCAGGCTGCGAGGCTGCGGCTCCTCCGTCCTCATGGGGCGTGGCCCCAGCGGCTTCAGCCCTGGGACCGCGCGACACCCTCCAGTCGCCTCGCCGCGGCGACGGCCGCCAGCGCACGGACCGCCGCACCGCGCTGGCCCACCACCTGGCCAGGCGCACCGATGACCTCGCCCCCGCCGCGAGGCCCGCGGCCGCGGGCACAGAGCAGCCGCCCCGCACCGACCGCGAAGCCGAGCTGTCCCAGTCTACGGCCGCTCTCCAGCAGAGGTGCGCAGCTCTCGCCGCCGACCTTGCCGCTGCCCAAGCCCGTCAAGGCCCTTTGCTCCAGCGCCTCCACCGCGCCGGTCGTGCCTTCGCCGAGCTGCTTACACCCCCGCCCGATGGTGCTGCGCCGCCACTCACCCTCCATGCTATGCTGTCATCGCTCCGCGGCGCTCCGCCTGGAGCCCCGCGCTAATCTCCGCCATTCTGCCTGCCCGTGTGCACGCGTGGCCCCGCGTCCACGGTGTCAGGGCGTGGGGGCGGGGGGTGCCCCGTCCCTGCGCGCCGCGCTGCGGCCAAGCGCCCAACTGGCGGTCTGCCCCTTTTCGTCCGCTCTCACGTTCTCTCTTCAGTCTCTTCCGCCTCTCCTCTTTTATCTCTCCCTTCTCTCTCTCTCTCTCTCTCTCTCTCTCTCTCTCTCCCTCTCTCTCTCTCTCTCTCTCTCTCTCTCTCTCTCTCTCTCTCTCTCTCTCTCCTCTCTCTCTCTCTCTCTCTCTCTCTTTTCTAACTATGTGCTTTCTATGCTTCCTGGCGAAGCGAGGGGGGGCTATCCACGGCGCCTGGGCCCAGAATGGGCCTGGCCAGGAGCAGTGGGCGTGCTGTGTGGAGACCTTGCCGCGCCCAGGACATCGAGATGTTCGGGTCGGGCACCCTGATCTTCCAGCAGAAGGCGTCGCTGCTGCCCGCCTTGGCGCTAGCGCCGCCGCCCGGCGCCCACGTCGTGGACGCGTGCGCGGCGCCAGGCTCGAAGACGTCGCAGCTGGCGGCACTGATGAAGAACGACGGCACCGTCTTCGCCCTGGACCGCGACAAGCGGCGGCTGGATACCTTGGATCGGGGAAGAGATACTGGCAGAACTTCTAGGCCTCCCAGACGGGTTCGGAGCTTTTGGGATCGGGGGATCACGCCGCATCGCCGATGTATCGCCGATGCGGCTCGAGGTGGAGCCCGATGTCCTTCACGTCGACGTCGCCGATGCATCGCCGACGTCGACCATGCATCGTCGATGTATCGGCGAAGCGTCGCGATCATCCGACCCGGCCTACTCCGACCCCGTATAGCAGGCTTCTACAAGATGAATTGTCAGAGGTCTGCTCGGATTCCTTGGATCAGCGCTGTACCCCACCCCTTGGCGCGCAGAGCACGCCAGGAGCGGCGCTGGAGGCGCCACCAGGGAGCTCCAGCGTCGATCCAAGAAATCCGCGCAGAACCCCCGAAGGTTCTGTTTTTGTCAATTTGCGTTTCTCCTCAGGATATCGAGTAACACAAAACAGCAGCAACCTGCCGATGCTGGTACTACCATGCGTCCCTTGTCGCCACGGACGGATTCGCCTGGAAATCATGGTCAGAAGGCATCATGGGGGAGGTCTTGGGAGTAGCGGTATCGTTACCTATATTGTTTTCCCCAAGCCGAAAGTCTCGGGGGTCCGCGTCAGGGGCAGCGTTAGTGGGGTGTGGGCTCAGGGGGGATGCATCGACCCCCTGTCGCCCAATGATCGCCCGTAGGGGCCCGATAGCCCACCCCACCAGATGCACGTGTGGATCCGCTATCGCGGGTGTCTGTCGCCGATCCATCGGCGATCTATCGCCGATTCCGGGTCGATGCCCCCGCTTCTAGGTTGGACCCCACCCGACCTTCCCCCTAAGATTAGCACGGCGCGGCATACAGTCGGGTCGCTGAAGAAGGAACCCTTTTCGTTGGGGAGGGGCTCGGTGTTCCTTGATTGTTGCAAAGTTTGCCTCGGGTTTTCCTGAGGTCTTCCGTGGGGAATCGAGGTTGAACTTACGGGCAAAAGGGGCCTCGTTCCTTATTTAGGGTTCCTTAGGTCAACGCCTCGACTGTACGCCCGAACGTTCGGAGGTCCGCGCGGCTGTCTTCTCGGGCCGGAGCTGGAGACCCCGCACCGCCCTGGCCTCGGCTCCGATCCGGGAAGTCCGCGCGGACCTCCACAGGATCGTCCTCGGCTCTACAGAGGGAGCTCCCGACCCGCCTCGGAGACCCCGCATGCCGCGCCCTCGAGACCTCCACGGGATCGTCCTCGGCTCTACAGAGGGAGCTCCCGACCCGCCTCGGAGACCCCGCATATGCCGCGGCCGCCGGCCCGAGAGGGTCCCGCGGTGCTCCCCGGGTGCCTCGTCTCGCGTCTTTGGCGGCGGACGGCTGCAGACCGTGGCCGCGGAACTCCAGGTGAGCCAGTGCTCCCCCTGGGGATCCCGCCTCGCGTTCTCGGGCGGGGATCGCTCGAAGCAGACTGATACAGTCGGCCCTGATTGGTAGGTCGACCATGCCAAATCGAGGGTACCCTTGCGTCCTGACCATCTCGACCTGTGCAACCCTCATGTCCTTTGGTGTTCTGGGGCCACGTCGCCGTCGTAAGAGTCTTGCGTCCTCTCGGGTGTCCTGTCCAATCAAGTCCGACGGCACAGTGGAAACACATGCCAAGAAGCACCCTGCTTGCCTCCAGGGTGCCCTGTTTTTTACCTAACAGCTTTTGCTGATAGGTTTCTAGTGGTGTCAAAAGAGAGCATCTGGACTCCACAGGGGGGTCTGGGCGGGTGCCGGGGAGGAGGGCCGGGAACAGAGCCGGGCTCGTTTTAAGCCAACAGTCACACACACTTCGTGCTCTTCGACCTCCCAGAACTCCACTCCCGGGCCACATTTTGAATAACCGGAGCCAACAGTCACACACTTCGTGCTCTTCGACCTCCCAGAACTCCATTCCCGGGCCGCATTTTGGATGCCCGGAGCCAACTGTAGGCCACTTCGTGCTCTTCGAGTTCCCAGAACTCCATTCCCGGGCCACATTTTGGATGCCCGGAGCCAACTGTAGGCCACTTCGTGCTCTTCGAGTTCCCAGAACTCCATTCCCGGGCCACATTTTGAATGCCCGGAGCCAACTGTAGGCCACTTCGTGGTCTTCGAGTTCCCAGAACTCCATTCCTGGGCATGATTTTGAATGCCCGGAGCCAACTGTAGGCCACTTCGTGTTCTTCTAGTTCCCAGAATTCCATTCCTGGGCCACATTTTGAATGCTGAGGCAGGCTGATGCTGCGGCCGAGGCAGGCTGAGGCTGAGGCAGGCTGAGGCTGAGGCCGAGGCTGAAGGCAGACTGAGGCTGAGGCTGAAGCAGACTGAGGCTGAGGCTGAGGCAGGCTGAGGCTGAGGCTGAGGCAGGCTGATGCTGAGGCAGGCTGAGGCTGAGGCTGAGGCTGATGCAGGCTGAGGCTGAGGCAGGCTGAGGCTGAGGCCGAGGCTGAAGGCAGACTGAGGCTGAGGCTGAAGCAGGCTGAGGCTGAGGCTGAGGCAGGCTGAGGCTGAGGCTGAGGCAGGCTGAGGCTGAGGCAGGCTGAGGCTGAGGCTGTGACTGCGACTGCCGTTGCCGCTGCGACTGTCATCGCGAATGCGACTACGACTGCGAGAACAACATAATTCTACAACTGGATTCTCATCTGAATCTTAAGGGGAATGCTTCCAGATATGCTCCTACACATCGCTGTTAGGTTGCTTTGCCGGGATAATTACCTAACAGCTTTTGCTGATAGGTTTCTAGTGGTGTCAAAAGAGAGCAGCTGGACTCCACAGGGGGGTCTGGTCGGGTGCCGGGGAGGAGGGCCAGGAACAGAGCGGCTCGTTTTAAGCCAACAGTCACACACTTCGTGCTCTTCAACCTCCCAGAACTCCACTCCCGGGCCACATTTTGAATAACCGGAGCCAACAGTCACACACTTCGTGCTCTTCGACCTCCCAGAACTCCATTCCCGGGCCGCATTTTGGATGCCCGGAGCCAACTGTAGGCCACTTCGTGCTCTTCGACTTCCCAGAACTCCATTCCCGGGCCACATTTTGGATACCCGGAGCCAACTGTAGGCCACTTCGTGCTCTTCGAGTTCCCAGAACTCCATTCCCGGGCCACATTTTGGATGCCCGGAGCCAACTGTAGGCCACTTCGTGCTCTTCGAGTTCCCAGAACTCCATTCCTGGGCATGATTTTGAATGCCCGGAGCCAACTGTAGGCCACTTCGTGTTCTTCTAGTTCCCAGAACTCCATTCCTGGGCACATTTTGAATGCTGAGGCAGGCTGATGCTGCGGCCGAGGCAGGCTGAGGCTGAGGCAGGCTGAGGCTGAGGCCGAGGCTGAAGGCAGACTGAGGCTGAGGCTGAAGCAGGCTGAGGCTGAGGCTGAGGCAGGCTGAGGCTGAGGCTGAGGCAGGCTGATGCTGAGGCAGGCTGAGGCTGAGGCTGAGGCTGATGCAGGCTGAGGCTGAGGCAGGCTGAGGCTGAGGCCGAGGCTGAAGGCAGACTGAGGCTGAGGCTGAAGCAGGCTGAGGCTGAGGCTGAGGCAGGCTGAGGCTGAGGCAGGCTGAGGCTGAGGCTGAGGCAGGCTGAGGCTGAGGCTGTGACTGCGACTGCCGTTGCCGCTGCGACTGTCATCGCGAATGCGACTACGACTGCGAGAACAACATAATTCTACAACTGGATTCTCATCTGAATCTTAAGGGGAATGCTTCCAGATATGCTCCTACGCATCGCTGTTAGGTTGCTTTGCCGGGATAATTTTTGGTTTCGATGGTTTTGCTGGAAGCGTGCCGCTCCCACACAAAGAGACAGTGGACGTCGTGGGGTCCCAGGGTTGGGTTCCTCGTGAAAGGTTTCCTGTGGTCGAGCTCCTACTGTACGGTTGCTTCTGCTGCAGGATCGGCTCATGAAGCAGCGCCGGGCGACCTGCGTCCAGCCGCGCCTGGCAGACTTCCTCGAGGTGTCCCCCAGCGACCCGAAGCTCGCGCGGGTGACGCACATTCTAGGCCTCCTAGATGGGGTCCGAGTAGGTGGGGTTGGGGGATCGCGCCGTATCTTCGATGCCTCCACGATGGAGCCCGATGTGGAGCCCGATTTTCTCCGCGCTGGCGTCGCCGGTGCATCGCCGATGCATCGCCGATGCATCGTCGATGTATCGGCGATGCGGGCGATCCTCCGACCCCATCAACTCCGACCCCATCGAGGAGGCCTCCGCACGTGCTGCTGGACCCGAGCTGCTCCTCGCGGAGGGGGCCCAGTCGAGGCAGCGGTGGCCCTCCCTGGCTCGGCGGCGAGCAAGCGGGAAGAAGAAGTGGGGGGGCGACCCCGAGGGCTCCTGCTGTGGCGGCAGTAACCCGCCCGAGACGCCGCGCACACCCGCCGCCTTCAGAGCGCCCCATCGAGCGACGACCAGGCCAGGGGGGCGAAGCGTTCGCGTTATCCGCGGCGGAGGCTTATCCAGGTCCACCGCCTGGTGGTTCGATCTTCGCGGACCTCCACAGGCGGTGGCTATGGATAGATTCGGTCCCCCAGGTGCCAAAATCTATCCATGTCCACCGCCTGGTGGGGCACCACGACGTCGGTTCCCAGGCGGTGGGATATGGATAAATCCCCGCCTCGCAGGTTCGAAGTTCGAGGTTCGAGTTTGTCACGCGTTTTCGCAGGTTCTCGGCGGTTTTTCAGCTTCGGGATACTTGCCAGCAGCTGCGCCTCGCCGCGGGCGTTCCGGGGTCTGGGATCGTCCCGAACGACCGCCGGAGACCCGAGTTATGAGCCAAAGAAACACATTCGGCGGCGCGCCCGCGGGGAAGTGAGACGGAGAAGGCCTTTTCAGAAGGCGGCGGAGTTCTCAGAAGCCCTCGCGCCTTCTGAGAGGTTTTCTGTGTCTTCGGGGCGTGGGAGTTTCCTCAGGAGGTCGGGGGGCTTCCGAGCCTTCTGAGAAGGCCCGCCCCCACTCACTTACCCCCCTGGCGGGCGGGCCGCCGATTGGCGTGCTGGGTCCCTTCTGGAGCCCCCTTGGAGGCCGCCAAGCCCTTGAGAAGTGCGCCGTGGCCTGCGCGCCCTGCCGTGGAAGGGCCCAGAGGCCACGGCCGAATACGCCTCCTCCTCCTCCTCCTCCTCCTCCTCCTCCTCCTCCTCCTCCCGTTCTTCTTGGGTCTTCTGGAGGCTTCTCGCCACCACGGCTGGATTCGCCTTGAAAGGCGGGCCAGGATGGGGCCCCGGGTGGGGTCCAGCGACCGACTGGGGAGCGGAGCTGGGCGCGGCGGGAGAGCCGCCGTCGCCTCTGCCAGCTCCCCCCCCGCTCCTCCTCGGGCATGACCACCGAGCCCCTCGCGGACGAGGGCACGGTGGCGGAGCTGGCGGCGAACCAGCGCCGGATCATCCGGCACGCGATGCGCTTCCCGTCCGTGCAGAGGATCGCGTACTCGACCTGCTCGGTGTACCAGGAGCCGAGGGATTGCCCGCCTCGAGCGTGTCCCTATCCCCAAGATGGACACGCCAAAAGGCGAGGACAATCCTAGGGACTCGCTCTCAAAAACTAAGGGAAGCCCTAAAATTGGCATCGTGATGAGGAGGTAGAAGGGGAGGAGGAGGAGGAGGAGGAGGAGGAGGAGGAGGAGGAGGAGGAGGAGGAGGAGGAGGACGAGGACGAGGAGGAGGAGGAGGAGGAGGAGGAGGAGGAGGAGGAGGGCCCAGCATAGGGAGAGGGATCTGTCCCAGGCTGGTAGAGAGGGAGGATAGGGGCGCCGCGGGCAGGCTCGCTGCAGGCCCGCGGAGAAGAGCTCCCGGGGCGGCGCCGAGGGGCGCCGCCTCCGGGCGCGCGGAGAGCGCGCCAGGGTTGGTAGTCCCCAAACGTGGTGGTGACAACACCTGGCGGTGAGTCTCGGGCGATTTGGTGTCACCACCCGGTTTGGGGACTCGTGCGGTTTTCCGAGGATGTCCCGGACACTGGTGGGTCCAGGAGTCACAAAACCCGGTGGTGACCCCGCGTCCCCAAACCCAGCGGTGACCTTTTTGGGGATTCCAGGTCGCCACCTGGTATCTCACCACCCAGTTTGGGGGTTCCCAACAGGGGGGTGGCGCCAGAGGTCAGGAGGGAAGGAAGCACACAGAAACCATCAGTCGATTCCCAGGAAGAAAGGGGAAGATACGGGAAGTGGGGGGGGGGAGGACAAAGACCCAGAAAATATGGGAAGTTCTGGGGGAATCCTGTGATTTGTGTGTATTTCTTCGTGTGTCCCAGGGCCCCTGCAAGAGGTGCCATCAGGGGGGTGGCGCCAGAGGTCGATCCACGAGGTCCGCGCGGAGCGCCGAAAGCTTATGCCCGTGCCGTAGGTTGTGCTCCTCTGCCTCGGCATCGCTCGGACGTGTGCCTTGCGTCCCTCGGCGAGGGGCCTCGTGGGCGGGGCCATCTTTCGAACAGCCGCACCCAGCCAGCGCTCACATGCGCCCACCGCACCCATTTTGGCCCCGCCCAATAGGTAGTATCTTGCTTTCCGGGCTTCAGCATGTAGTTCGTGGTCCGTTTTGTCCGCCCCATCTTGCTGCTGCTGCTGCTTCGCCGCTTCCTTTCCCTCCGAGACCGCCAGTGGAGCACATCGAAAGATACACCGGGAATTCGGGTCCGAGCGATGGCGAGATGCTGTGTTCCTCGACAGACCGGGTCCAAGCAGACGGGGTCGGAGCACCACGCCGCATTGCCGCTGCGCCGGCGATGCGGCTCGAGCGCCGATGCAGGGAAGCATCGGGCGGGGCCAGGACTAAGTCGGGCATGTCCCTCTGCAGGAGGAGTATTCAAGAATAGTAAAAATCAAGGGGCCCAAGGACACACCAATAAATGCACAAATCCAAGGATTTTCGGGGTTTTCGTCTTCCCCCCCATTTCTCGTATGTTTTCCAATCTTTTCCCGGGAATCGACGATCCATCGTGTCTGTTCAGAGGCCCGAATCATCAGGGGTAACTCGGGTCAGGGCTAACTCGGGTTCGTCTTTCGGGAATCCGAAGCCGAGTTGTCCCGGGCCCGAGTTACCCCGGATAACTTGGGCGTCCAGAGCCCCAAATCATCAGGGATAATTCGGGTCAGGGCTAACTCGGGCTCGTTTTTCGGGAATCCAAGCCCGAGTTACCCCGGGCCCGAGTTACCCGGGATAACTCGGGCGCCCAATCTGTGTGTTTGTTCCCCACCTGATCTAAGATAGTCTGTTGACGACGTGTCGTGCTCTTCTGCCCACGAGGGGAAAAAGCACACAGACACAAGTAACCAACATGTGGGAAAATGTGGGAAGTGGGGGGGGAGACAGAAACCCCGAACCTACGGGGAAATATGGCGAACCAGCTTACTTGTGTGTATCTATTTGTGTGTCCCGGCCCCACTGCCAGACGTGCGGTGTCTCCTGGGCCTCCTAGATCGAGGACGTGTGCATTTTTCCTTCGGCGAGGACCATCGAGGAGCATTCCTTGACCATGTGGCGAAAACCCCACGCACGAAACCGAGCGAGCGATGGCCAGATATATTCCTGGGAATCGACGATCAATCGTGTCTGTGTGTTTTTTTGCCCCTCTTGATCTAAGGTAGTCTGTGGACGACGTGCCGTGCTCTTCTGCCCGCGCGTGCCTTGGGCCCCCCGGCAGGCCCACGGGGCCCCGATCTCGATGCCTATCCTCTCCAGACGCCGCCGGGCCTCGGAGCTCCCCCGACGTGCCCGGCCCCACCCCAGACGTGCGGTGGAGGAGGAGGAGGAGGAGGCGGAGGAGGAGGAGGAGGAGGAGGAGGAGGTCTCCTGGGCCTCCTAGATGGGGTCGGAGTAGATGGGATCGGATGATCGCGCCGCATCGCCCGAGATGCATCCTCTCAAGACGTCGCCGGGCCTCGGACATCCCCCGACGTTCCTGGCCCCACCGGCAGACGTGCGGTGTCTCCTGGGCCTCCTAGATTCGGGGGCGGAAAAGAAGGGGGTGATGACTAGGGGGGGGTGGACCTCATGGCGGGGGCCATGAGACCTCCCCAGATTTCGTGGCGCCTCTTCTTGCCCCCACGCTGGGCCGCGCACATGGGTCGGTCATGATTTGCACCCCCCCCCTCTTGGACACCCCCCTCTTGGCCGCTCCCGATCCTAGATGGGGTCGGAGTAGATGGGATCGGATGATCGCGCCGCATCGCTCGAGGGAGAACAAAAACACATAAGCATTAACTTTTGGCGCTCCGCGCGGATTTCTTGGATCCGCGCCTGGGCCCCCCGGCGGCGCCTCTGGCGCCGCCCTTGGCGCGCTCCACGTGCCAGGGAGGGGGTCCCGCGCGGATCCAAGAAGTCCGCGCGGAGCGCCAACAGTTTATTTTTAGTTGCTTGTTTCTTCTTCTATAGATGGGGTCGGAGTAGATGGGATCGGATGGTTGCGCCGCGTCGCCGATGTGTCGACGATGCGGCCCGATGCGGAGCCCGATCTTCTCCACTCCGACGCCGCCGATGCGTCGCCGACGTCGGTGATGCACCGACGATGCATCGCCGATGCACTGGCCACGCGGCGCGATCCTCCGACCCCACGTGCTCGGACCCATCTGGGAGACCTCTATGTCTGGTGTTTGTGTCACGCAGGGGTTCCCGCAAGTCCCGACCCTGTCCCGCAGGGCTGTCTTTTGTTGACCCCAGGCCCGGCGAGGTCCCCCCTGAGGCCGAACACGCCGGCAGAGGAGCCCGTCGTGAGATTCGCTTAGGACGCGAGCACGTCTGGGATCACAGAGATCCGATGTCGTGACTTTTCCGATACGGGGCCCCCAGATGGCTCGACCCATTTCCCAGGACCCGTCTTTCATCCTGGAGCCGTTGTTTGACGGTCCCAGGGCCAGGCGAGGGCCCCTATAGAGAGGCCGAAAGCGGCGAAACATCCTCCGTCCTGATTCTTGTCAAGGCGTTGGCATCTCTGGGAGGCTGCCCCCGCCAGGAGGAGAACGAGCAGGTGGTGGCGAGCGTCCTGGCCTCCGAGGAGGGCGCCGCCTTCCGGCTGGCCAGCTGCCTGCCGTGGTGGCCGCGGCGCGGGCACGCGAGCTGCTTCCCCGGCGCCGAGCTCTGCGTGCGCACCGAGCTCGAGGACCAGACCAGTCGTGGCGCTGCACCCTCGGGGGACCACTCCAGCCAGGCGCCCCTCGGGCAAGGAAAAAGTCAGGGCGGGAGGTGTTCTGCTATTCTCGGCCCCCCAGGGGGCCCTCACCGGCCCTCGGGACCGTCAAAAAAGGCCTCAGGATGGAAAACGGGCCCTGGGGACTTGGCGGAGACCTTTGGGGGACGACGTGATGAAAAAGTCATGACGTCGTGGGACCTCCCCAGGGATCCAACGTATTGAAGAAGTCAAGACGCAGAAGTTTTTCACAGCTTTCCGCCTCTGGGGACCCTCGCCGGGCCCCAGTACGGACAAAAAGCGGCTCAGGATGAAAAACTGGTCCTGAGGAACGGGTCGAGATTTCCGGAGGCACCAGATTGAAAAAAATCACCGCTTCGGATCTCTGGGTCCTCCGCTCCTCACATGGGTGTCTCTTCTTGTGCCCGACGTGGGCTCGATGCGGACTCGACGCGGGTTGGACGAATTCCATCTGGATTCGACACGGATGCGACGCGGATGCGGGCGCGATGGGGCAGACAAGGCCCCCCGAAGATGCAGCACGATATGTGGGCAGTGCCAAGGGGGCGACACCACCATCGGGGGTCGCCGGTTCCCTCCTGGAAGTCGAGGTGCTGGGAGCCAAGCTGTAAGTCGAGCGTGTCCATCTACAGGAGGAAAATTCAACAGCTCAACAAAGAGTCTGGAAACGATGTTTCTGTTTTACTTTTCGGAGGTATTTGTTTGATCATGTCTTGCTTATATTAGATGTTTCGTCCAACATCTCCCTGTAGGGGACATGCCCGACCTAGTCGAAGCTCGAAGAGGCTCTTGGCTGTGTCGCGCCGCTTTGGAAAAAAGGCCCCGGAGTGTTCGTAGGGGAACCGTTTTTTTGAGGGGGGACGCTTCCTCGAGGATGTGGCGACCCCGCTTACTTCGGAGGTTGATAGAGCTCCTACCCTGACACGTCGATTCGCGAATTGGCCGTTTTCGGTTCGCGAGAGCGCGTCGCGGCCGTCACTTTTGCGGGTCCAGGTCCGTCGATCTCGGTCACTGGCCGTTTTCACTACAAGGTGGTTTACTCAAGGGCGGTTTGTCCACCGCCGACTACTGGTGGTGACGCCCACTGGCAGTTTGCCCCGGCCATCGGCTTCTTCGTGGCGCTGTTCGAGCGCGCTGCCGCCACGTGAGGTCGATCTCGAAAAATAGTGGCTACATGTACCAATCGGGGGTGGACAGACCTCCCACCCTGAAACGTCGATTAGCGAATCGGCCGTCGCGGCCGTCATTTTGTCTTTTTTGCGGGTTCAGGTCCGTCGATCGCGGTCCCAGGCCGGTCTCACTAGAAGGTGGTTTACTAAAGGGAGGTTTGTCCACCGCCGAACCAAGAAATACCGTGTTTGCCTCCAGGGTGCCCTGGGTCTCGGTTGCTTTGCGATGGGAAGCGTGACTTACCACACACTAAAAATCTATGGACGTCCTGGGGTTTCAGGGGGTTCTTGTGGAAGGTTTCTTGTGGTCGAGTTCCTGCTGTAAGAAACACCACGAGCATAAATCATGTTGCTTCGAGCGATCCCCACTTCCAGGCCTCGAACGTGTTGGCACAGAGAGAAGGAGATTGGTTTGCCCCGCGGGGCGCCAAGACCGTCAACAAAAAACATGCGGGAGGACAAAACCCGTCGGCGGGAAGTGATCCAGAGTTCCAGGGACCCCTGTGCACGCCATGTATGTCTGGATCTCTGGATGCCCAGGTCGCAATCTGCCTCCTATTTCAATCACGCCTTTTGGGGGGAGGGGGGGGGCTGACCCGAACAAAATCTACTCTGGGTTTCTTAATAAGCGTGGGGGGGGGTAGCCCCCCCGAATGGGGGTCAACCTCGCCTCGTCGTCGCGCCGCGACGGGGGTCGGAGCGCCTTCGGCGCGCGGTGGCTGCCCGCGACGGGGGTCGGTGTGGGGCTGTCGGCGGGGGTGACGCCCCCCCGACGCGTATTGAGAACCTCGGAATAATTATTTGATCCGCCCTCCCACGTCATGTCCCCACGTGCTTCTTCCGACTGGCGGGCACTGAACAGAGCAGGGCCTCGGAGGTCTCGGCCCGAGCGCGCCGAGGCGGGACTCCCAGGGACCACAGGTTCTGGCGAGTCGGGTCGGGAGCTCTTCTTACTGAATGGGGCAGCCCCAACCTCTCGTGGAGAATCATACTTTGTCGGAGGCCCTCGCTGGTTTCTCTTGGATCCTCGCTAGGCCGCCCCATGCGGCGCCTCCGGCGCCGATCCTAGAGGATCCGCGCGGACCTCAGCTTGTGGATGTTTACCCGTCTGTCGTTGAGCGTAGGCTATTTGGGATGCTCAAGTCCCAATCTACTTTAGGCGCCCTCCTACTTTCGGAGTCCAGTGGTGTTCTCTCTCTCCCCCTCGCCGGGGGGCGGGCGGAAGCTCAAGCTGCGTTCGCCGCATTCCTACTTCATGCTTCTACCCACCTCTTCCGACCGACGGGTACTCCAGATTTCGTAATAAAAGGGAGGGGGTCTCATTTCGGGGGGGTCTCTTCCAGGCTATCTTGGAGGGCCTGGGGGGGTCTGGGGACGATGTTTTGGAGGGTTCTCCCACGGGGGACGGGGGGGGGGGTCTAAAACTTCTCGTCTGGGAGGGTTGAGACCTCCTCCCTTTTATTACGAACTCTGGAGTATGGGGTTTTCGTCCTCCAAGGTTGCACGGCGTGCGTCTCGCGAGCTTCGAGTTCGGCCGCTGCTCTGGCCCTCGGCCGCCTGCTGGCGCTCCGCGCGCCTCGGAGAGGGGGGCCCGCGCGGAGCTCCGGAAGTCCGTGCTGACGTTGCCCCCCGTTCCTCTGCGTGTGTCCCTGCCGTCTGGCAGGAGCCTCCTCGGGCGGGGGAGTGGAGGCCTTCTCCTCCTCCTCCTCCTCCTCCTCCTCCTCCTCCTCCTCCCCCTCCTCCTCCTCCTCCTCCTCCTCCTCCTCCGCATGGTCGGGGGAGGGGGGACTTTGGCTGCTGGGGCTTGCCCCGGGAATTCGAGACCACTGCGAAGAAAGCGTTCCAGTTGGCAGTCTGCGGCTGGTCAGCGGCTGGCGCTTGGCCGCAGACGTGGACGATCCAGTTATGTGGCATCGACGCGAATACAACAAAGTCTTTGAATTCCTTGTAAGTTATACAAGTGTGTGTGCGGAAGGAGTTGGCTCAAAGAAGTGCCACCAGCCACACCGCAGTCTCTTATCCTGATGGTGCCAGTTTCACATGCCATCCAGACAGCCGCACGCGTCGCGCGACTCGCGTATTTCTTGGATCCGCGTCGGGGACCCCCCGGCGGCGCCTCCGGCGCCGCCCCTGGCGCGCGGCGCATCTCGCCATATTTATATATATATATATATATATATATATATATATATATATCTATGTATATAGATTCGAAGGGTCTCGCCCTCTACCGCCAGCCCCCTCTCTAACTGCGTGCGGGGCTACGCATAAGTCGGGCATGTCCCTCTACAGGAGAATTACTCAAAAATGGTCAAAAGTAGTCTGGGGACGATCTTCTATTTCCGATTATCTCGGAATGTATTTCGATTTTTTGTTTATCTTCCAACATACGCTTGTAGGAGGACATGCCCGACTTAAGGCTACGCATGTTGGTTGGTTAGTTGGTTGGCTAGTCGGTCGGCTGGCTGGCAACTCGGCAGGGTCGGCTGTTGTTCCTCTGATTTCGCGGTTGGCAGGTCGTTTTTGGCCGGTTGCCGGCTGGCTGGCTGGGCAGGCGAGAAGCCATCGGAGGGTACATTCGTGAAGCCATGGGATGCACCACGCGCACACCACCACGCAGGCGCTGCGCAAGGCGGGCTGAGATCGCAACACACACAGACTGCACCGCAGCTGCTCTGCCGCGCGAAGTCGTGGCCTCGGGAGCGCGCCCGCGTGGCACCGTGCAGTGGACCGCGGCCTCGGAAGCGCGCACCAGATTCAGGAGGGAAAAACACACACACACAGACACAATTAATCGTCGATTCCCCAGAAAATATGGGAAACTATGGGAATAGGGGGGGGAAGACAAAAACCACAAAAGTATAGGAAAATTTGGGGGATATGTTTATTTGTGTGTATTTATTTGTGTGTTCCAGTTCCCCTTCATAGATGGAAGGCACAACGGAGGGCGGCCTCTGGGGCGCCAGCGCGCAGCGGATGGGGCCTCGGGAGCGCGAGCGCGTCGTAGCTGGAAACTAAACTTCGCAGGCTTAGAGGTTGACACCAACACCAAGATCGGCGGTGTGCCTCCAGCGAGGGAAGAAGATCCCGATCTCGGTGATGGTGGTAATATTCTGGCTTCCAAGGTGACCGAACTATTGCCACCAACACCGAAATCTAGGATCCCCTTCCCCCTGTGGAGGCAACCCCTTGTGTTGGTGTTGGTGCCCATTTCTAGGCCTCCAAGAACTGTGGCCACGAGGGCGCGAAGGGGCTGTCCTGTATGAGGGGCTGTGGCCACGGGGGCGCTCACGCGAGGTGGTTCGCGTGTGAGTGGGGCCTCGGGAGCGCGCGTGCGTGGCAGAGGACACGATGGGTTGCGGCTTCGGGAGTGCATGTGTCGCGCAATCTGCCAAAATGAGCGTGGCCTTGGGAGCGCGAACTCGCTGCCGTTGAAATAGGACTGCGGCATTGGGAGCGCGCGCCAATAGTAATTTACGCGGGATTGCGGCCTCGGGAGCGCAAGCATGCTGTATCTTACAAGCGATCGTAGCTTCGGAAGCGCGAGCGCGTTTGAACTTAAAAGTATGGCTGTGCCCTGGGGAGCCCGAGCGCGCCGTAACTTGCGAGGGGCTGTGGCCTCGGGAGCGTGTCCCGGGCACCCAAAAGATTCTGAGAACCCTGGACGGGCATGTGGTCGTTGTGTTATGTATTTTTTTGCCCATCGGCGCGGGCCCCCCCCCCCCGTGGAGCAGATCTTGGCTGTTTTCTGGCGCCTGCTTCGGGCGGGCGGAGTCTCCCCCAGAGGCAGCACTCTTGCAAGCAGCCGCACTGAGCAGAGGTCTGGAGCCAGACCCCCCCCCCGTCCCCCCTGCCCGCCTTTCCGCCCAATGTCGACACGCCGATTGTATATGATACATTGTGATATTTGTTTTTAACAAAAAAAAACGCTCACCGTGGCAATACAATGCGGTTCGGCCTTGGGCCGTCGCGCGCTGTGGCATCAAGACGCCCACCGGAATCCGTCTTTCGCACTGGGCCGGCTGCAGGGAGCAGGAGCACATGGCCCCTGCAGCCTGCCTCGCCCCCAGAAGGGGGCTGGTGGATTTCTTGGCATCGCTCGGACGTGTGCATGTTTCCTTCGGCGAGGACCATCGAGGAGCAACCTTGATCATTTGGCGACAAAAAACAAACACGCACGAAACCGGAAAAGAACACAGGGAGTGGACGCCCGAGCGATGGCCAGATTTGCCCCAACGGCTCTGCCAGCCTCGCTGGGCGGCCCTCCCGGGCACCTGGCCGCAGAGCAGATCGCTCGCTGCCGCGCGCCTCCGGCCCGGCCGGGTGCACTCTGCCGGCACCACTTCGCTGCAGATGGTCGTGGCTGCCGGGGAGAAAAACACATCTGGCATCTTGCACATGCGCTTACAAGATGTGTGTGATTGAGGATGTGTGTGAATGTGTGTGTGTGTCTGTCGGTACGTCGCCCCCGGCTCCTGTCCAAGGCGTACCTTTTCTTGTGCAAGCTCTTCGACACCGCCTGTGCTCCGCACCCTCCGGCCGCCGGAGGCCCCGCCCGCCCGCGCCCTGTCTCCCCAATTAGTGCTTCGCGCGCCCCGCCTAGCTCTTAACCGGAAGAGGCCCGCTCTCGACCCGCCGAACAAAAAGTGTGTGTGTGTGTGTGTGTTTGTGTGTGTGTGTCTGTCGGCCCTCCGTGGGCGAAGCGCAGGCTCATACGTCTTCTGGGAGCACACTCGGTGGCGGGCGCTGCCCAGCCATACTTCCTGCAAGTCGCCATCATCGGCCGTGTGTGTGCTGGAACATGCTCGCGCGCCTCCCAGCATGGCGCCCAGCACTAGCACTCGGAGTCCCGCAGCGGTGCGACGACAGGCCGTGCGGTGACCTCGAAACCCCCCAAGACCTCACCGCACGGTCTGTTCCCGCACGGTCTTGGGGCCCCAGGGGCCCCTGTCGCCCGAGACGTCTTCGGGAAGGGAACGCGAGTCCCAGAACCGTGCGGTGACCCCGAATCCCCACCGACTCACCGCACGGTGTGGTCACCACACCGTCTGGGGGCCGCCCGACAGCAGTTCCCTCTGCGTCCCGTGCGCAGCTTGCCGAGCTCGCGCCCCCATCGGCAGCTGGCGCGCGGGCCGTGCCCACGGTGCGGCGCGCAGCGGCCCCGCGCCCCCTGCCGACGATTTTTTCCCGGACGCCGCCGCGGTCAAGGCGCGACGACGGCAGGCCCCGTCTCGATTTCTCCGATTCTGGTTCGATTCCGTTTCGATCGATCGATTCGGTTTCGATCGATTTCTCGATTCGATTCGGTTCGATTCCTCGCTTCGGTTTCGATCGATCGATTCGGTTTCGATTCTGGTTCGATTTCTCGATTCGATTCGATTCGGTTTCGATCGAGTCCGATTCCGGTTCGATTCGGCTTCGCATGCCGATTTGGCTTGCGGCCTCTCGACGGAGCCTTTGCTGGCCTGCCGGTCTGCGCCGGTTCGACTGCTCCCGGCTTGGCTGCCGATTTCCACCGATCCGATTCCGTTCGATCGTCGATTCGACTTAACGGTTCGATTATGGGCTCTTCTGCGACGATTGGAGCAGGAGGTTCAGAAGACTGCAGTGCGGCGCCGAGTGTTGTCAATACCGTAGGTATTCTAATGCGGCCGCCCGCCTTTGGGCAAGCATCTCCCGATGGGAGTCCCTGAATTCGGGGGCCCCCAAACAGAGCGGTGACCACACCGTGTGGTGGATGAGTCGGTGGGGATCCGAGTCACCGCGCGATTCCGGAACCAGGGTCGCTGTCCGAGGATGTCTCGGGCGGCTGGGGCTCGGGCTCACCAGGTCGCATCCGCCGCCAGCTCCTGCCTCGCCATGGGCAGGGACCACATGGCCATGTCACAGGGCCTCGCGCTCTGGCCTCCTCGGCCTCGTGCCCGCCCTGGACACGGAGCAGCTCCGAGAGCGGATGCGTCTCTCCTGGCGTGTCCACAGGACTGCGCATCCATGGAATCGCGCCCTGGCGCCCAGATTGCCAGGGGCTCGGGCGAGGCTGTGTTACATGGTTGTAGATCGTGGCTGCCCCCGCCGG